CTAATGCCCCAGTATAGTGACGGGGACACTATACTGTAAACAGGCGCCGTCCTTCGGATGAGATGTCCAGAAAAGCGCAATATAAGTGTAAGCAATTATAATTATTATTAACAATAGTCAATTAAATTATCCTAATCCAGTAAAAGCGGAATTGTAATGAACACAATGTCGAGACTTCTACTTTGTGATATCCACAGATCTTAGTTTGTCCTCTGTTGTGACATCTTTTCCTTCACCGGGTCCTGTGTATAGAGCACATCAACCCAATTTGCCACTTTCCAACTACAAAATTATTGTTTACTAGTATTGTCATCTGCCTGTATCTTAACAATAAAGAACACAAAATATATTGTATGTAAATCAGTGACATTCTCTCAAATGCCTTCTCTCAAAATGATTTTCTCCAATTATTCAAAAACATTTTGTTCCTGTAACATGTTCCCAATCAAAATCATACAGCTATTTATTTATAGCTTTATTGACCAATCAGAAGAGTGTCAAAGTGTCTTTGGCATCACTATTGAAATTACAAATAACACTTAAAATAAATACACGTTAAAAACAAATAGCTCCTAGCAATGCAGCAATACATACTGTATATACACACATCTCATCCTATCTATATTACACTATTACACTATCACATTAATCCGATAGCTTCATACAGGAAATAATCTGTTAGCTGCGTTTAATATACAGTACGATTGCAAAGGGAACAAAATATTTATTTTTCCCTTTTTAATCCCATAGGCATACTTAAATGCTTCAACGAAGGTAGCAGGTAAAAATGGGAATGAGAGTGGGAAGGTTCATCAATGATAAATGGAGCTTTCCTTTGAGCTGCTGTATAGTCTGCTCTTTTAGCTGTTTCTGTGGTCAACCAATTCTTTTACTAGCAATATTCACAATTCTGGGAAATTTCCCTTTAGTTTTAATACTCAGCCTACCATACCACACCATGATACCAAAAGTAAGGTTTCTTTTTACTAACATTCCATAAATCTTACATAAAATGTTTTGATTCATCCCAAACCCTGATCAAAAATATGTGCTTGGCTTTCCTTTTTAAAAATGCAATTGCAACTGCAAAGTTTAAATACTAAACTTTATTTAGTGCCAAGCAATGCAGAGCCTTATAGGTGAGCATGAGGATTTTGAAATAGACACAAACTTGACAGGAAGACAATGCAGTGCAAATACTCCAGGTTAGGAGTAATCACTTGCACTAGACCTGGTCAGGATTCTGGCTGCTGAGGTTTGGACATACTGGAGTTTGTTCAATGTGATTTTAGAAACCTCAGCGAGTAGAGTGTTATAGTAGTCAAGAAGACAGATGTGTTAATCACCTTTTCAGCTACGGTTAGTGATAACATAGGACATAGTCTAGCGTTCATTTTGAGGTGAAAGAATGATGTTTTGACAATACTGTATGTTGCACATGTGGGTCGAATGTTAAGCCTGAAACAAATGTCACCCCCCACATTTTTCAATTTAAACTGAAGTACAGTTCCATCCACAGATAGAGATACAGCCTTGGCTGAATATAGTGACATGTTTATTCAAGTTATAGAAAGTAGGGCACAATCATCCTACTTACATAGCTTCTCCAACGCTATGCTCCGAGTTTACAGGAGACATGCTATAATCTTAATTCCTGATTTTACAAACTGCTAACTAGTTTTGTCTGTCATTTGGCATCTTGTTATCCCAAACTACAACATCCTATTATTATTTAATGTATGTGTTGCCCAATTTCAATAAACCATTCCTGATTCTCTGTTTGATGATAGAGAATTAGACATAGGC